TGACGTCAGTGTGTCCCTCCCAATAGTGACCCTGACTAGAGCTGGAGGAGTCCCTGGACTCAAGAGCAGCCTTCACCACCGCCCTTCCCTGAACCCGGGTGGAACCAGTATCGTGGCCGTGTGGAACCAATATGGCGGCTGTGGTTTTGCAGAAGCCCAGGCTTGTTGGGGGCCTTATCGCAAGTGCAGTAGGTTCCTGGGAATAAGACCTTAGCTGGGAGGGAAGTACAAAGGGTTTTATGGAAGCCAGAGGACATGCGTGCTATTTCTAGTTCAGCAGGCAATTATTTTGGCCTTGGAGCAAGTCAATGACTTCACTGTATGTCAATTGTTTATGACCAAAATGATAACTGTTTGAGTCAGGTCCAGTTCTCGGGGATGTGGAAGCAGGCACAGGTGTTTGTTGGTATAAAAATGTAAGAAAGAAGGTAAAAAGAATGAATTATTTTATTACAATGGATTTTATAAAAAATGGCTATTTCCTGCTCCTACAGCAAATAAAATCCCTAGTTGTGGCAATGGAGAACAACCGCTTACCAGTGTAATTTCAATATTCTTGGAATTGGAGATAGATTCAAGGACTCGGCATTAGAACATCGTAACCTGAGGAGATTGGGAGTGTGGTAGTAGGGGTCATGACAGTGGTTCAAGGGGAGCAGTGTTGGGAGTTGGAATCAGGATTCTTGAATGTCTGGCCAACAGGTAGTTTTACCGGTGAGATCTCAGTTTCTCATCCACAAATAAAAGTCAAGTTCTTTCCAGTGGAACTGTTGCTGAGAATCTGTAAGGTATTGTATGTGGAAGGCTCTAGAACGGAGGAGAGATGCCTTCCTGTGCAGCAGGGTTGTTGCTCAGCATGTATAAGACTGTGAGTGGAAAGTTCTAGAACAGGAGAGGTACTTTTTAGAAAGAAGGTGTGCATCTGGGCTTCCACGCAAAGCTCCTCAGGATGTCTTGGCCCTTAGGCCCTCTAACGTGAACCTAGATGGACTTGGAAAATGGCCAGCTGCGGGCACACAGTGTTAGGATG